AAATTAGACAATAAAACTCAACATTCACTCAGCATTCGGGAGGGGCGAAATAAGATTATCCCCAGGCCTGACGGGGATAATCAAGAGTGAGATGGAATATCACGAAATCTGGCACAAATGGTGCCAATGGTTAGAAATGAGGGGAAAAGGCCGGGATAGAAAAACAGAGACAAGTTAAGAATTGGAAAATATGGTATTAAGAAGGTGTGATAGGTAGGAATTGGATATGTATTTGTATGGTTATTGATTATATAAAAGAAAGGATCAATGAACAGGTAATCTGACTGACTATGCATACCTACGTAATGGCTATAAAATGTAATCCTTGTAAGATCCAATCACGATATGGAAACGTTTATGCCAGAAATGTCGCACTATGTCCAATGTTTTTAATATTTATCTAATAAAAAACTTTTTTAAGTAAGAAAAGAAAAACAAAAAACCACCTTTTCTCTTTGTAGGTGGCTATACAACTGGTCCTAAAGCACTTGTGGATCTTCTGCGCCAACGTTCCCGCCCCTACCTCTTCTCCAACAGCTTGCCTCCAGCTGTTGTGGGCTGTGCCTCCAAAGCTCTGGACCTACTCATGGAGTCCAATGTCATTGCGCAGTCCATGGCTGCCAAAACTTCACAGTAAGGGAGACTATATTGTGCCCTTCACTCTAATAATCTATCTAACAATAGACTGCTCTGCAGAGAAAGAGGGTTTGGGTTACCTATTGAACAAGCGTATGGGTTCTTAACTGTTCGAATAAACCTATTTTTGCATTGCATGATAGCCATGGTTAAACCTTAAACATAGAATGCCAAGCCAAAACTAAGCAAAGTTGTGTGATGTCTTAGCATGATGCAGGAATTTAGAAACATGCTCTAGTCTAGAATTTAACAAATCAGCAGTCCTTACTCTGCCTTCCCTTCAGCAATGCATTTTTTAGCAATTGAATCTAGGCATGTTGTGTGACACGAATGGAAAAAAGAGGCTTATCAGCTTGGGCGGTACGTTTATATTTTCATCCTTGTTTATCCAGTTCCAGTAAGTATTTTTCAAATGGGAATTGGGAAATGAACTGAACTCTCTCTGCCTCAGACAAATGTACTCCCACTGAATTCTGTGGAAATACTTATAATTCCATATATAGCTCTGTCTCTTAAAATATGTATTAAGAATTGCTACACAGTTGAGACTGATCTAATTTCCACAATTTTTCCTTTTAGGAAGGATTGTTTTTCTTCCCGTTGCCTTCTGTTTGATCTGCTTTTTCTATATTCTCACCCCAATCCTTGCCGAATACTTAACATTTCAGGCAAAGGCAATGAAATACCTTGTACTGCTGTGCCAATTAGATAAAGTAATGAAATTTGCTGAGCTTGTACAAAAGGTAGAACTTTTATTAAAATGTGGTGACATAGTTTTCTGGTTCTAGCCAGCCAGCATAGCTCTCCTCCAGGATGTTCCGTTTCATTTTCTGATATTTCTCCAGCATTCTGTGGCTACTGGCAGAGCTTTTATGCAGCTGCCTTGGTCTGTTTCATGAGAACTATTTTTTCTGTTCTTCCTTGGCCTCTTCTTAAAGGTATCATAATGTGTTGATTGTTGAACCTACCCATCCAAAACTGACAGCACAAGTGCTACTTCTCCTGGAACTCTTCCTAATGATTTGAGATCAGCAATATGGAATTTGAAGTAATTGTGCCTTCATTGCAAATGAGCTTTGAGTCCTCTTGTGGTTAATTATGAGATGGGGAAAGCACTTCAGCCTGTCTTCTGCATGTGAAGATGGGGGAAGAGAGAGAACAGGAGCCACCTTGACTCCTAAATGAGTTGTCTACATGCATACTTCACCAAAGGATTTTAGTTTTTTTGCAATCAATGGTGGGAAGGAGAAGAAGAGAAATGAACTGGTTGCTGGAGCCAGTTGTTGCCTAACTAAATAATCAAGTGTGCTTAGACCTTATTCTACTTTCAGAGGAAGAACTTGTCCCGTTATACCTCACATATTCTCAATGGTTCTCACTTTATATAACTATTGGCACCTATCATCTGAATTCTCTTAGGAAGTTATTACTCCTAAGGATTGGATTGCTCAGATACCAGGCATATGCATTTATCTTTAAAAAGATCAATGATAATTTTCCTTTAACCTGCAGGTTCCGAAGTAAGATGGCAGCAGCTGGATTTACAATTTCAGGCAATAATCATCCTATTTGCCCTGTGATGTTGGGTGATGCCCGGTTAGCTTCAGTGATGGCTGATGATATACTAAAAAGAGGTAAATGTTCTAGAGAAGTAGGAGGTTCATATCATATAATTTGAAGTGATTTTTTTGCCCAAAGAAATTGGTTTCAGTGCCAATTAAATCATAGGAAGGCTTAAAGTTGTCACTCTATACCTAGTTTCCTTCAAGCATTCTGTCATAGATATTATGGGCAGTAATAATCCATAACTTCTAGAGGGCATCTGTAACAGCCTACTTAAAATCTTAGCACTGTGAGGAAAAAAATCTCTTACAACCTTCTGCATTGAAGGCCTTCAAAGTCGGAACCAGTGATTTCCTGTCCCACTCAATTCATCCTTTAATAGAACAGCTAAATGAGGATAACTTCTTGGCAATTTTTAATTACCAAGAGTTGAGCTACAATCATTTGTTCAGTGACTGTTTGAAGTTATGGCACTGAATCAAGGGAATTCCGGTCACTCCTCAAAGTTTCAGCCATTGCTGTGTCCACCCCCACCCCCACCCCCAACGGTCGTGTGGACAGAAATTGGGCACTTGGCATCCAGCTCATACTTATCAACAGAGAAGAGATGTCCAATCTTTGCAACTTTTAAGACTTCTGGATGTCGTCTCCCACAATTCCCCAACCAACATTGCCAAAGTTGGACCTTCCTGAATTAGAGTATCCTACAATCATAGGATCACTGTTGCCGACCTTCTCTGTACATAAAGTCAATGGGAAGCTGGCAGGGAAAATTACAAGTCACTCAGATAAGCCAGTCCCTTTCCCAGTCCCCCCCTCCCCCAGTTTTTCTTAACTTGTTCACATGCATTGTGCCCTCCTTCCCTCTTAGCTTGCCTAACTTAGCTCCCTCTTAACCCTCCTTCCCTGGGGCTTCCAGGCACGCACCCACCATCCAGAGGTGTGGGTCACATAATGTACAGCTGGTTCACCGAGAACCGAAAATGTGAGCATGCACACTTCAAACCTGGCAATTATGTAGGATGGGATAGCGCTGGGGCAAGGGGGCGGGCCCAGCTGCTGATTGGAGCTAACGGTTTGCCCGAACCGGTCTGAACCGTCAGCAGCCCACCTCTGCCACCATCCCTCTTCTTCCCTAGCCATCTTGTGCTTGCACACCGGCACCCCTCTACTTCTGACTTAGGACTTCCTCTACTCCCCATGCAATAACCCATGTTTCTTAGGCTTGCTACGACAACTGAGGCTACTTGGATTGCCATCGCTAAGTGCTGCATCACACTTCATGATCACATCGCTTAGCAACAGCAATCTTGGTCCCAATTGCCCTCATAATTCAACATCTGCCTGTAGAAGAAACATCTGAACTAATTGCTGCTTCTGAGAATTCTTCTATTTTCAAGAATGAAATAGAAATTCCTTTTGGGAATTCATAGAATTACGGAACTATCAAACTGAAAGATTATCTCAGAGGTTATCTACTTCAGGGAACTAGATCCAGGAAAACTAATAAAGTCATCCTCGAGAAGGGTCCTCCTTAAAAGCCTTCTCAGATGAAGGATCTACAACCTTCTTGGGTAGACTGTTCCACCCTTGTACTGATCTTACTATTGGGTAGTTTTGCTTATGTTTAAGTGAAATCTAGGTAGTTGCAAGTTATATTATTTCTGACCTTAGTATCTATGAATACTGGAATGGAAGTGGAAAATAATTCATGACCATCTTCCTTATGATGAGTCATGGCAAATATCAACTGAACTTTTAGCAATTTCCAACTTCTCCTTTGTCTCAAAACAATTCACAAAATGTGCCATCTACTTCCTAAAGCCATCTACTCTCCCAAGAGCATCTCCTTTCTCTGTTCATTCTCCTGCATTTTTGGGGACTTTGCTCCTTCTAATTAGATTAGGAAAGATTCTGATACCTGGAGTGCCAGTCGAAGCAGAAGATGCCAGGGAAGATTCAACCGGGTTCTGCTTCAAAAGCTTCCTAGGACTGGACAAACCAAAATGTAGCAAATCTGTATACACAATGCTTTATTGTAGTGAACACCTTCCCAACCACAAGCTATTGTTTTGGGTCTTAAAATCATAGGGATGTAAGGGACCTTGGAGGTCTTCTAATCCAACCCCTTGCTCAAGGCACAGCAATACCCTCTTGCTGTTGACATGCAAATGGATCTTCAATACACACTCCTTTATGCTCAGTCTTTTAATATTGCATTCAAACAAAAGTCTCCGTTTTTTAAAAAGAGCATACAACCTTGGCCTTTTTCTAAAAAATCCTGCACTTCTTAGGACAATGTGCTGGGTGGTTCCTACAGTATTCTAGTTGCTATCAAGCTCCGAGTGAAGCTCCAGGCAGGACTCCTGCTCACCATAGCTAGTTGAATAATAGTCCTAATTGCCTGCTTGTAATAGCTGCCAATCTCCAGGCATTGCTTCCCCCACCCCTCCTTCTGCATGCCCTTAGCTTCTTTCATTTTCTCCTCCACACCCACTTTGTCTTAGTGTTTGCTTTCATAAGCTAAGAGCCTGGGTGGGAGTTGGCTGCCTGTGCAAGACAGCCTATCCTTGAAAATGCCGGATGTGACTCAATTATTACAGGCAGCTGAAAGACCAACTGGGGCGCTTCTGAATAGAGCGGTGAGTGGATGAATGTAGGAGGCACATGGGAGTGGGAAGCATTTTTACCTAGCCACGGCTACCCATCCCAAGTGGAGCCATCTCACCTTCACTCCCTCATATCAACCCAGAGCAAAACCAAGGTTGGACTAACAGCAGCACCATTTTTGTCACCCAACAGGCATTTATGTCATTGGCTTCAGCTATCCTGTAGTGCCCAAAGGTAAAGCCCGCATCCGAGTTCAGATCTCAGCTGTTCACAGCGAAGAGGATATTGATCGATGTGTGGAGGCCTTCATTGAAGTGGGGCGTAAACATGGAGCCTTGCCTTAAGCAGCTGCAGGAAAAGAACCGTGCCTTTCTACAACAGGAACCAAATGTTGCCAAAATACCTCTTTGCTTTCCAAGCGACAAGGATTGTGGAAATTAATAGTTCCAAATTTCCCAGTTTGCCTGCTCTTTTTATATGGATTATTTTGCTATAGTTCCAATGATACAGTGTTAATTGAAGGTCTATGTTCTTCTAAGAACTATAGTTCACTACTATGCTAGAAGATTAATAAAGATTGCCTCTCCTGTGGTCAAAGGCAACCAGAGCTTATAACACAAGGGCTTCAAACTCAAGGCCCAGGGGCCGAATGTGGCCCATGGGGCCACCCTGGAAACTGCAAATGGGCAGGCCATGCACAGCCTGAGCTCCGTTTTCACTGGCAGAGGGGCTGCAGGAGGCTGTTGAGGCCAAAAACAGAGCCCAGGTGGGCCGAGTGACATCAAGCTGGCCACGCCCCCTGACAACTCTCCCTCCAGCCCCCCCCCCAAGGTCAAACACAACCCTGATGTGCCCCTCAATGAAATCGAGTTTGACACCCCTGTTATAACACAAGGTGAAAGGTTGCATAAAATATGCCATTCTGATTTGTGTCTTATGTTCAGACCACTGTGGCTCCATTTTATTCCTTTGTTGCAGAAATGAACTTGGAGGAAGGAGAGGGAAAGATAACTCCCCCCACCCCTCTCATCCCTGCACAAATTTCTCTTTATGGAAGCAGTTTCTTCAGATTGATCACTAGAGGGCATATTTGTAACGCTGGCCTCAGGGACCCCAAGACAGCAGAACATACCTACATTGCAGTGGTTTATTGCTTTTCATTATGCAATCTCATCATCGTCGTATATTCATTTTCCTTACAACATGCTAAAAATATTAAACAATTATTGGTTCTCTGTATTTTAATCATTTCCTCTGTGTGTGTGTGTGTGTGTGTGTGTGTACCAATTATAAGTGGGAAGAGGGAGGGAATAGAATGTGTTCTTAACGGGACAAAAGAGCTAGAGTACAAACATGTTTGTAATGGGATAAAGCCAAATGTAATTTTGCAGCTCTACCATGTACATGAGATTACCATATCTGGTCTGTAAACAGCTGGACGGCACTACACGGCAACGAAGAAATATTGTGCACCAGTCTAGTGACTCTATATTTGTGTAGCCTGCCTGTGGAAGCCCTCCTAGCACAAACCACTGTTAGGATTAAGAAAAAGTTTGGGTTCCCTTCTGTAAAATCAGACTGGCCTAGCTATAAAATATAATGCGTATCTTTATAGGGTATAAGAATATATCTTAAAGCATTGCCATTTTTATTTTCTAAAAAGGAGTATTGACCGCTCATTAAATTAGCACAAACCCAACCTTTTTCTGTCTGAGGCAAAAATAAAATCTCTACCCATCTCATGTTACATACAGGGATTGTGGCAACCAGTGAGCCAGTTATAATCAGAGGTCGTATTCAGCCGGTTCGGACTGGTTTGCCCAAACAAGTAGCGGAAATCGTGGGTGCCCCCCTCCCTGCCTCAGTTCTATGCCGTATTATTTAGGCACGTTTTTGAGGCCAGGCGCATGCATGGAAGGGGCACGAGGTGAATCAGTGGCAACAAAATGTGAAACCGACTGCTGGTTATAATGGCTAGAAACATACATTCTGTACTATCAATGAATTACATGAGGTACCTTTGGGAAATACATAGAAAAACCAGAGATATGTGCCTTTCCTATTTCTCACTAATCTCCTGCAATAATGACTAATCTTACTCAAGATGTTTTGCAGTGTTATCTCTTGGACTTTGTTGTCCTGAGCAACAGCGAACTGAATAGGAAAGAAACAAGTAAAAGTGTTTTTTCTTCATCCTTTCCATTATTACAGCCTTCCAAGTTATGGTGCTTTTGCTGAGTGGGGAAGGTCAAGGGTACAAGAAATGAACACTTTAAAAAGATGATGAAGTAGGATATTCACATACATTTTGCCAATGTTCATAGGATATACGGTAATTGCAAAATTAGAAATTGTATGTATTCCTTTGAAGCAGCCTTGCCACCTGGCAACTGACTTCCTTCTTGAGTTATTTATTATTTTCTTGATAAGATTTCAGAAATGGTTTGTCATTGTCTGCTTCCAAGGGCTGAGAGAAAGTGACTGGCCCATAGTCACCCAGCTGGCTTGTGCCTAAGGCAGGACTAGAACTAATGGTCTCCTGGTTTCTAGTCTGTAACTACTATATCAGACTGGATGCTAGAATGGAATTATTAGCATATACATAGATTTCATGATAAGAACAATAACTGTAATAATATGTGTTGTGCCTGTTTGAATTCAATTGCTGGAAAACGTCTGATCTTCCATGCTCTGCTCTTATGACCATTATGTTATGAGAGCCTTTGACTCAACAAGCCTTTAGGCAATCAACAATTACAAAACAAGACACAGGGACATCTGTTGAAAGAGCAACTCAGCTTCAGGAATTAATAATAGACTTAGCAGGAATTTCCACCTCACACTAGTTATGGACACTAATGTTCTGGAATGTTTATTGTGGAACTGTGGTAGCGCAGTGGTTAGAATGCAGTACTGCAGGCTAATTCTGCCGACTACCAGAAGTTCAGGTCTCATCAGCTCAAGGTTGACTCAGCATTTCAGCCTTCCATCCTTCTGAGGTTAGTAAAATGAGGATCCAGACTGTTGTGGGCAATATACTGACTCTGTTACCTCTTAAAAAGGGCTGTAAAACACTATGAAGCAATATATACAGTAAATCTAAATGCTATTGCTATTGTGATATTCCCAAGTACTGAGACATTATTTAGGCAAGGTAGGAAGGTTTGAAATATAACTCTCAAAGAATTTGGGGCGCTTCTGTCTTATGAGCCCAGAACTGTCTTGCAATGTTGGATTTCTGTTGCATTTGTAGGAAACGATTTAGGAGGAAGTGCATTCTGGAAGATCTGTTGCCTTATGAAGTCAACATTGATTCCTGATAAGGTCCTTATTGTCTAATTTTTCATTAAGTCAAGCTGAATAAGGAGTTCCTCTGGCCAGGGTTTTTTCCTCAAAGCAGTATTAATGTGTGTTTTTCTGGCAAGGAGATGTCACAAAAATATTCTGGTATACCTCATGCTGCCTTCACTGCTGAAGCATATTCTGCCTTCACAGTGAGGCCCCTGATATCATCTACTGGAAGGAAAAACAGCTATCAGTCATTCTTTCAAGCAATGATACTGTTCTGTTTTATGAGGCAAAAGCCAAGGAATTCCTACCCTGCAGAGATCAAGCACTGCATAACATCTGCTTGAGCTTGATAGTCTACATTGTCCTTGTTTTCAGTCCTGATGTCATTGAGCAATGTCAGAAAATGGAATAAAATTATATCAGAGCATTTCAGTCTCCCAAGATACTGTATTACAGACCTCAAGGTGACCATTTTAAAAGAACAAGACTTACTCTAAGCAACACTGAGCAAAAGATTGTTAAGCCCATACATCAAAACATCTCATCACAAAGGATTTTTGTTGTTAGTTGTGAAGTCATGTCCGACCCATCGCAACCCCATGAGCAATGTTCCTCCAGGCCTTCCTGTGCTCTACCATCCTCTGGAGTCCATTTAAGCTCATGCCAACTGCTCTGGTGACTCCGTCCAGCCACCTCATTCTCTGTTGTCCTTTTCTTCTTTTGCCCGCAATCTTTCCCAGCATTTGGCTCTTCTCCAGGGACTCCTTCCTTCTCATTAGGTGGCCAAAGTATTTGAGTTTCAGATTTTTAACAGTTTGCAATTAATTGATAACATACTGGCAATCTATCTCACATGTAACAAGCCATTCAATCACAAAGATTTCTTACCTGTAAATTAAATTACATCAAAATATCACTCAGCTTTTTAAAATTGTCCAGATTGGTTCCAGACAAGCCAGACAAGCATCTTTTGAGATGCTGGAAGGTTGGATTATTTAGTAACTTACATGTCATTTCAGACATATGCCATCAGGTATGTAACTTTCTTGAAGGTTATGAAATTATTATTGTGATATCATCCTACCCAAGTCCAATTAGAAGTCTTAGGGAACCATGTATATAGTGTTGCAGCTGCATTGCACTTTGTTGATTTTATACAACAGCCCATCCCAATTCCCAGATGCATCATTTATGTTCCCAGACATGGAAGATATTTGGAAGGAATACATAGAAAATAAACCAGGCCAAAGGAGGTTTTAGTAAAGCAGGAATCTTCCATTTACTTACATAAATATTTGCTAGGAATTCATAGAGATAAAAGTAAACTGAATAGCAGTTCTTTAATTTCAAAGACCTAGATCAAAATCACAGAGCAGAACTTTAAAAAAAAAACTTTTTAATAAGAGTCCACAATGAAAAATGTCAAAGGTTGGGTCCATATACCTTATATATAAGGCTTACTAAATTATGCATAACCAAGACTACAAACCTCTATAGTAACATAGTGATAATAATATGATGAAATTAGTTAAGCCAAATTCTAATTCATACCTTGTATTTCTTTGTCCCTCTTTATTTGTTCATCTTAACCTCATGCATCATCTCAATTAAAAGAAAAAAAATGCTATTATTAAATTTCCAGAGTCCCAAATCTCTTGATGAAAACATGTTTAGTCTCTGCTATTATTTTATCATTGCACATTTGCTGGTGCTTCTGTTTTGCATTTGGCTAGCATTCTTTGGATATGACAGAGAAATTTAATACATGGTGTTGTTTTGTTTTTACATAGCTGTGAAGATTCCTCCAGGCAGAGGTTTTCAGATGTTCATGAAGGATTTCTCTCATTTTCATGACAATTATTGCTCTTAAGATTTGAACCTCAAGTTTATGTCATCTTGAGGACCACCTTTCATCTAATTGGGAAATTTTTTTTTTTTTTAGTGATTTTATTAATATTTATAGGCCGCCCTTTTCCCTGAGGGGACTCAGGGCGGCTTACATAAAATAAGGAAGGGAGGGTACAAGACAATAAACGCAGAACAATACATAAAAGTAAAATAGTACACAACATTCATTCATCATTCGGGTGGGGACAGATTATCTTTATCCCCAGGCCTGACGGGCTAGCCAGGTCTTAAGGGAAATGACCACAAAATCCTCACAAAGCCCAATGCTTCAGTATAAAACTTCCCTTCAGCCCGTATCACGAGCAAGCACACTTACATGCAGTCACAACAGGATAAGGAATCTGTCTCCAAACACATTCCTTACGAGATTTTCTGCGATTCAGAGACTGGGTTCCATTTATCCAACAGTGCCATGCTAGGAGTTTGATGTGAGTAATTTGGGCTGGTTGGCAAGTCATGCCTGGAGGCCAAGAGCATCCTGCTTGCTCACAGTGTGTGTGGCGTATCCAGCGTGGCCAGAAGACAGATCCCATGTCTACCCAGGAAGAGGTTAAAGAACAGGTTGCGCTGTCCACTAGCCATCGACGTAGACGATAAATGAAGGACTGGCTCAAATTACCAGCGATCCCATCCTCAAAAGGCAGCAACAGCTGCAACTTGGGAAGCTGTAATCTGCTTGTCTCCTGCAGAAGCGTCTTCTTAAAGCGGGCTGTATGTTTAGCCAGCTCTCGGTTCTGGGTGCTCAGTTCTTCAGCACTTGGGTTCCGACCTCGTGGGTCCTCAGGAGACATCCAGAAAGCGTCATAGGAAGATCCCAGAAGTTTCATCAGCTTGGAAGTACGCAAATGCTTTGGCTTGGGCACAGAGTAGTGGTAGTCCTCAGGAGAGAGGGAGAGGCTGTAAGGCTTTCCTTGAGTCGGCAGCTTACTCCAAGTAAGATGTATGTCAGGATTGGACTGCTCCAGTGCTCTGATGTTATTCGATGGTCGGGGAGCTCCACTTAAGGAAAAGCCTCCTTTTTGAGAGGCAAAAATTGCTTCAATGTAGTGGAAGCCTGGGCTCCATTGCTCCAGAAGCAGCATACAAGCCAGCCACACTTTAACGTCCATGTTTCTTCCAAGACTTGAAGCTGTCTCAGTTGCTGCAAGCTAACTCTTATGAGGCTTTCTTTCTCTCCACCTCTTTTATTATCAGCCTTTTGACCCAGAGTTTAGCAGCTCCCCTCTACCCTACTTGCAGGCTTTGATAACAAACAGCACTGTGGCTCCCCTTGACATAAACAGAGACAGGGGGCGGGGGATAGCCCTCATTTAAGCCATTTGGACATTTCTTTTTGATAACCTACGGTTTTAATGATATGCTATAATCAGCATTAGTAGTTCAATAACTCTAAATTCAGCAATTGTTTTAAATTGCTAGGGCTTGGATTCAGCAGCCATTGTCAAATTGTGACGTGGTTCTGAATTTTTAGTCTATATCAGCATTCCCCAACCCTGCAGATGGATCAGATCACAAATCCATCATTCCTGGCTATCTCAGATTTTTACTAAATCCTCCCCCTCCCTCTCAAGGTAGACCATTAATTTGGTATGTATGCAGATTATTGTAACACTAAAGTGGTTTCTGGATTATTGCATACCGAGCTTTGGTTCGATTGCTTGAATTGCATTTAGATAATTTGCATGTTTGGCATAACAGTTGTGGTTCTGGAATTGGTGAGTTCTTTTGGAACCTGAACATAGATAGACCTTGCAACCATTCAAATATTTGATTTCATCTCCAGCAATGGGATATGAAAAACTGGGAATGGTTCTTTTTACTCTATACCTTTACTAGAAATCCTCCAATAAGACAAGTGTTCAATGGCCAGGCGTAAGAGATGACACATGCCTCATCTTCTCTGGAAAATTGAAAATTCTTCCGTTAAAATCCTATCTGAAACTTCACTCTAGCATGTTTTGTAAAGGCAATAATGGTTAGCCCAGTTTATAGATCTTTTCGTGACCTGGGACCCATTCTGACATTACAATGAAGCAGTAGAACATGTTGAGGAATCATATTCTGTTGCATAGATGGTAAATCAGTACAGAGAAAACTCATAATAAACAATATGCTTCATCAGGAAATAGATCAGTCATGAGAAAAATACTGTATTTTTGGAGTATAAATATAAGCACTTCCCCCCCCCCCAAAAGAGGGTGAAAATCTGGGTGTGTCTTAAACATCAAATGTTGCTGCCCCCCTCACCAACAGACCTGCCACCTTGCCACCGGACCTGCCGCCCCATTGCATTGCTGCCGAACCTACTGGTGGACATGAAAGACTGAATCACATGTCATCAGAATAATAGCTTCACAGTTTCCACAAAAACAGTGATATGTGAAGCCAAATGCATTGCTGCACAGAAAGGCATTCAGGATTTTACTGGATCACCATCGTGGTGCTTCAGATTTATGAGGCAATATGGCGTTGCTATGCGCACTAAAACTAGAATTGCACAAAAAATGCCAAAAGAGTATGAATCTAAGATTCTGTTTTTTCATACATTTGTGATAAGACTCCAGGAAGAAAAATAATTTTAAAATTGGAAGGGTGCTTGAACCTTAAAGTCTCTCCCCATTTGTTAATGACAGTGATTATGGTTCTTAATACCGCTGTTGATTTTACATGGTTGTAAAAATTATTCTGCTATATTTTATTAAATATATTGTTACACCATTTGGTTCAAAATATTTTTTCCTTGTTTTCCTCCTCTAATATCTACTAGATGTGTCTTATAGTCAGGTGCATCTTATACTCTGAAAAATACGGTAATTACATCAGAACAATAATTATCTGGTGCAAAAGCAAGATATTATTCAAACATACCTCTAGCATTAGCTCTTGGAAATGGAGAGTTTTGAAGCTAAAACCATCACTATTATGCCTAGATGTCAGCTGTTACAACCAGTCCCTATTATTTCTTTATAAGACGTGCCCCATCTTAAAACTCCCATAGTGACAAGACATCTAGTTTTACAGCTGGAGTATCTTTATGCATCTGAATTGCCACCCCCCTGCATTTTGGGAATCTGAACAGTGCTATTCATATTATCCAAGGCAACTCTGGCAGTTATACAGACACAAACACAAAACAGCTACTTCTAAGAAACTTATAACTCGCCTCTCTCCAAATTCATTTTAAAAAAAACAACAGGTGATGTTTTCAAGACACATGATTGAGAAAACAAAACTAAACCATTCTTCTGTCTGGTCTGCTGCTTTCCTGTTCACTGGAAGATGCTGTCCTGTTTTGGCCATTTTAAATTATCTTCAATGGCCGCTTCATTCAGCTTTTCTGAAGGAGTGCACCACACTAACAAATTATGCCCTAATGCTAGGTTCCCAGTGTGATACCTTGCGATGCCAGTTGCTCATGTACACCTTATTTCTTTTTAAATTGTTATTTGTATTTAATACAAGACTAATAAAAGATGAAAAACCATGTACAATGTTATGTTTCTAATACAATTCAATTTTTTTAAATTAAACCTTGATCATGTACGTAAATTACTGTTTTTCCTTTCCACAGATTGTCAGCTCAAAAATTGGGAGGGCACACCTGCCAGTATTTTTTCTGAAACCAAAATAATAATTTGAACAATCCAGGCACAAGAGATATAAAGTTCTTCATAAATGCAGCCATCTTAACTCTCTTCCTAAAACCTGGTTCACATTTATATTACTAAGAGAAAACCTGCAGAGTCTCTTCGTCCTGATGCAGGGACAATCTATTAAATGTCCCAGAAGACTATTGGCCAGGTAGAATGCATTTCTGCTCACGGAGGAGGTAGAAACTACATATTCTACGTCAGCCAATTTGTGGCTCCAACAGGTTTTGCTGGTTCTCTATGGGTCTGCCCTCTTTCTTTTGGGGTCTGACTTTTTCTCTTGCCCCTCAATCCTTTTTTCACTGTAAGAAAGTCTTGCAGGCAATTTGTGTATTCCCCCTCCAATAAAACCTTATTAAATGTCAAAAACATTGTGGCACGACAAAACCACGGTCCACTAAAGCGCGCCCGATTAAAGCGCGTACCTGACGTCATCAGCAGCGCAACAAATATGACCACGGAGAAAAAAGGGCGCTTTAAAAAGCGCTTTTAAAGCAAGCCGATTCACGTAAAGGTAAGGGTTAGGTTTAGGGTTAGGGTTAGGTTAAGGGTTAGGGTTAGGTTTAGGGTTATGTTAAGCATTAGGGTTAGGTTAAGGGTTAGCGTTAGGTTTAGCGTTAGGTTTAGGGTTAGGTTTGGGGGGGGTTAGGGTAAGGTTTTCGCGTTAATTTTAACTTTACCGCTCACAGCGTGATGTTTTCGTCGCGCTCTGATGACGTCAGGTACGCGCTTTCGTCGAGCGCGCTTTAGTCTACCGCGGTTTTGTGGTGGAACCCAAAAACATACATACATTCCAAAAGAATGTAGGAAGTTATCACCCAGCCCTCTCCCAGAAAAATGAAATATCCTAGGAAATATTGAAAAGGCAGAATATTTCTCTGGATGTGAAAAGAAAGAAACATGTTTTAAAAGACAGAATAGCTGCCTGTAGCTTCCTGCCCATCCCCACTTTGTCAATGGGCCATTAAAAGGGCCAAGCTAGTTCCTTTACATAATAAAGACTTCTCCACTTCAGCTCCAGGGGGATGGGATTAAAGCATGATAATATTGGCCCTTTACTCAACTGACCACATGGCATCTGAGAACTCAACCAAACCTGGATTCAAAACACAGCTTAGAGAGTTGCCCCTGCATGGCCCCATGGGAGTCTGACAACCAATCAGAATACATTTCTTACACAGGAACAGGAAACAGAGAGGTGGGACTGAACAGGTTATAAAAAGCCTAGCAAGCCCCTCCCTCAGCCCTTCTCTTCTTCTCCACCAACATTGAAGCATGTGGATCACCTTTTCTGTTCAGGACTCAAGCCATGTCGTCCTGTGCACCATTAAACCATCTTTGCAAGCAGCCTCCATGTCTCCAGTGTCTTTTTCCCCACTTGGAGCCGAACCCAGAAGGACATTTCTTTCATCAAGAACAAAGAGTTAGAAAGAGGAAAAGAGTGAGCAGGGAATAAAACAAAATAGGGGGATGCAGACAATTTGTAGAAAAAACTATAAAAAAGATTAACTTCCAACTTTTTATATACAATTGTACAATCATGAAGTATAATGTTCCTTTGAACTGGAATAAATGATAGCAGACTGTACTTCTGTACTCATTAGCAGTTCTGGTCCTCAAATCCCAAGGTTAAAATCTGTTTTCTTTTAGTATCCAACAAAAAGTCCAAAAATGGTTTCCATATAAAAACAAAGTTGGATCAAGTCTTTCTTTAATCAAAGCAGCCAATTTCCCCCTCTCCTCAAAATCTATTTTCTTCACAAGCCATTCTTCTATTGTTGGTATTTGTGAGTCCTTCAGTGTCTGCACATAATGCTGCTGTTATCATGTATAAGAACAGAGAATTTTTTTAAATAGGTTAATCAGTAGTTGACTGTCAGGGTTAGAGAATGTGAAGCCTTGAAGTAAACTCGCCTTGGCTTAATGCATGCAAACAGAAGTGTGATTGAAAGGCCCTGCTCTTGTTGGAGCAAAACTACATAATGGGCAAGGAGAGACAGGAACATTTTATTTACAATGCCTAACTGTGAAGGCCACATATTTCCAGATGTACCAATTGCCATAGCAACAAAACATTTGCATTCAGGAAGAAGTGATCTCCCCTTTTTCTCTGTTCAATGTTTAACCATATATTTCTAAGAGAAACTATTCAACTTGAAAAGATAATTATAAATGATATTGTGCAGTCCTTTATAGAAAGTCCGTGAGATAACCATAGTTCAGTACAGATGCCCTTCAAAGTCCCCTTCCATAGCATCTGTCCAATTTCACTTCAATAGGTTTCCTATCCTTTCCCCCCACCTGCTCAGAAGTCTCCTACTAAAAGCATCAGGACTCTTCAAATTACCGTATCCGTATCTCTTTAGATTAAATTTGCCAGTGCCATACTCTTCAAGCCATCTAAATTGGGGGTGGGGAACGATGGTCCTGTTATGACCTGTGGACTTCAACTCCCAGAA